AAAGCTGGCCAGCAGCTGGGGAGCTTCGTGGTGCTCTCAGGAGGAAACCACTCCAGCCTTGGGGAACAGCTAGACCCCTCTGAGCCACCTCCCACCCCGGACTTCTGCAGGGGCTACTTTGATGTGATGGGGCAGTGGGACCCCCCCTTTAACTGCAGCTCGGGGGAGTTCATCTTCTGCTGCGGCACTTGTGGCTTCAGGTTTTGCTGCAAGTTCAAGAAGACAAGGCTGGATCAAAGCACCTGCACAAACTATGAGACACCGTTGTGGATGAACACTGGGAAGCCTCCTTCCCGCATAGATGACCCTCTGCACGACCCTACCAGGGATAAAACCAACCTCATTGTCTACATCATCTGTGGGGTTGTGGCAATCATGGTGCTGGTGGGGATCTTCACCAAACTAGGGCTGGAGAAGGCACACAGACCCCAGCGGGAGCACATGTCCAGGTAAGGTTGAGTGCCAGGCAGCAGGGTCCCCTTCCCCCCCCTGTCTCCCTCCCTGCCCCCCTCATGAGGAGCCCATGTGTTCCTGCTAAACAAACAACTCCTGCCAGGCAGGCTGCATTCCCCTGCAAGGCAACCAAGAGAGACCAACTTTAGAGAGCAGGGCTGCTGTGGTTCCCCAAGCCCAGGTTATCAAAGTACATGCATATTGAGGAAGACTAGAAATAATTGTGGAGTCTGCACAGTCCATTTTTATCTGCAGTGTCTGACCCTCTCCCCAGCAAGATCCAGCAAGTGTTTCCAGATATACTGTGCATGAATAGGAAAACAAAAAAATCCTGAAACCAGCAACACTGAATTATAGAAAGCCTGATGGGTTCCCTCTATCAACTGCTTCAAAGCTCGGAAAATGTTTTTGCTTCTCAACAGAAGGATGTAAACAAATGTCATCTCACCCTCCCTCTCCAGCTGCAAAATGGTTTTGGCAGGACCTTCCCTACTCCCCCAGCCCTTGCAAGTGTGTGAGCTATTTGTAAAATTTCTAAGCTGTGAAAATGAGCCAGGGTGGAAGGGAAGAGTGAGGCACAAAAAAGAAAGGCTATTATAGAATTTCTTAACATTTTTTTTCAGTTACTGCTGAGAGGTAAAAAATGGAATATGAAAGTCTTGTCTCATCCATATATGTGTGTGTTTTACTCCGTATCCACAGTGTAATGGCTGAGTTATATCAAAGAGAACCTCCCCCACCTAGAGTTAGGCATGCTGTGTACTGTCTACTCCAGATTCTGGCTGCCTAGTGGTGGATAGGCAGGTGGGCAACTCAGGACAGAGCCCAGTGGCTTTAGCAACACATTCCAAACCCAGATTGTCACAGCAGTTCAAAATCAAGGCATAACACATTTGTCAAGTTTGCAGTCTGTCTGATTCTTTATGCTAATCCCAGGCACATGAAAGTAAAGCAGATGGGGGAAAGGCATTAAAAAAGGCAAACAGCTCCATTAAAGAGTCTAAATAGATTCCAGCATATTGGGCAACTTCAGTGATGAAACGCAATTAAGACAATACCTTCTACTGGACAAAGTGTGGCAAAAAGATACTTCTTGCCCTGATTGGTAATAGTGTAGTTCACACTCTTTAAAGCATGGATGAAGAGTCATCCTTTGAAAGGCAGTCCAAGAGATCAACTCAACACCTGGAGCCTTATTTTTAACTGAAGTTTCTGCATGACTTTTTGATTATCTGCTTATCCTGAATTGAACAAAGAAAGCCACAAAAACACTCCTGAAAATGCATCACCAGTTCACCAGCAATTATTTGCTATTTATAAACTGGCTGATATGGATACGCTTTTACTACTGAAGAACAAAGCACACTGCAGAAATTTTAGTCAACTTAACATTGTGTGTTAGTGATACTTCTGCAAAGATGTTTTTTGCTGAGGAAGGTATAATAATCCTTGAATATGCTCAACTACTAAATTGAGAAAAAGAATACATAGGTCCCAATTTATTTTTAAAATCTTACTCTCAAACTACAGAGCTTGCTTGGAAAAAAGCTCTCCCTTGCTTCAGCCTCTTTCTGTAGTGTCCTGATGCAGGCAAAAGGGCAGGGCTTGTAAGAGTTACAAAAACCAGGATGGAGTGAAGTTATAGCCATCCTTGCTTATATATGACTTAAATAGCAAATATTTTTACCAGTAGAAATAGGACCTATCTGAAGTACAGGTGTGAAGTATTCTGAAAGGATATTCTTCGTTTATGGAAATAGAATTATAGGGGATTGGAAAATCATTCTGAAATCCTTTAGTCATGTATGTATAAAGATTAGGTTTCTGAAGTGGTTCTTAGAAAAGGTTGTCTGTTACCCTGATTACTTAACAGGATCTGAGATGTTGTACTTTTCTTGCCATGAAAATGTTCAAGTCAGGATTATATAGAAACTTGGAAAGTCATGATCACATGGAAAAACAGTCACCCACTCAGTACACATAATAGCTAGTCATGTTCTGAAAAAGCAGTGAAAAAAAAAAAGTAGTTCTCACACTCCTATTACAGCTGTGGGGTGGGCTTACCATTGATCTGAAAAGGAATTAGGTTTGTAAATTGCTTCGGCAATCTAAAAATTTGTTCATCAAGTGAAGAATTGAAGTAACCTTTTTGTCCTCAAATGTGTTTAACTAAAATATTGCATCCTAGCTCATTTTACACTACTAATGTTCTGGGAAAGAAAGGCTGCAATGCTTAAGACATAAATAATTCATCTGTTTAAACAGTTAATAGGACAAACAATTAAAATAATATGTATCCTATATTCATCTTTACCTTCTTTTATAACACTCGTCACTACCATATTAAAAAAACAAAACAAAACACGTTTTATGTTATTTTTCTGTACTGAACCTTATTAATAAGCAAAAGTACTGAAAGAGTTAGGTAGGCCAAGCCAAAAGTACTAAGTGTTACTCCATTTTGGCTGGCAGCAAGGAACACACGGAGTCTGATTTGTCATCTACTTCCTTAGCTAACAGTGTCTCTTTCCCCTTCCCTAGCCAATGGCTACATGAAACAACTGAATTCTCTTAATTCCTACGAACAAATTCCCCTATGGAAGGGATGGTACTGCTTATCAAAACAGACTGTATAATGTAACCTGATCTTTTTTTATGAGAGCTAATTTTTTAAAAAAGTGAACAGAATACAACTATTGTAACATATATTTCTAAAAATATTTTAAAATATGAACAGAGACCTGACACATGGGAATAGGAACATTGTCTTGCTTATAAATAGGATATAAACTGTGCCAAGATTATTAATTCCTTGCATTATTTCATCTTGCAGTCAGTGGATCTGCTGTTGAAGACAGACACTGGTGTGTGTAAGAGTGGTACAATGTTAATAAAGGAAACTTCACAGGCTTGGCAAACATAGTTTCTGTACACTTGCCTTTCATTAGATTTTGTTTACTGCTATACCAAATGAAACCAAGAACACTCCATTAATTTCACTGAGTTTACCTGAAATATTTGACAATGAAAAAGTATCAGGAAAATGTATCTATTTAGTGAAAACAATCCATAGGAAAAAAATCTCTATTGGGAAGTCCATTTAGGAAAAAAGAATCAAAATTTGTCTTTTTTTAGAGAGCTTGTTACTTCCTTTTGTTTTGAGAAAAAAGGCCAAGTGTGGCACTGTTGACATTTTCTTTCTTGTTAGATCAGTGCTTTTCAGTAAAACACTCTTACTGTTGGCATGGTACTGTAAATTTGAAAGATGGAAATGGGGAGGGGAGTGCTGTATTAACTCTAAATGGCATATTTTACTTTAGATATCGTATAATAATACTTTGTTTACATCATTCTCCTAATTTTAAAATTTGTAACCTGACATTAAAAGGAGATAAATACTCCTTTCAGCTACAGTGTCCAAGAACTAATCCGTGATAGTAGTATCCAAATAGAGTAACTCCTCCTTTACACTCCTGCTTTCTAAGACAATAAGGGAATAAGATGGTCTGTTATCAGATATGGCAAAGGAATCAATGTGTCAATATTGTGCCTAAAAGGAAACAGAACTGATGTGCCTACTGAAGCAGATCTAGAAGCTCTGCAGGCATACGAGGGCAGCATGTTCTTGCTTCTTAAGACTACATCAATGGGGCTTCCAGGCTCCATCTTCTCTCTCGAAAAGGAGTAGAAAAGGGAAAACCTTTAATTCTGTTTCATGGAAAAGACTTTTGTGTAAATAAAACCACACCTTTGTCTTCTTCCCTAATCCTTGTGGAGAATGTGCAAACAAACCAAGAACCAAAAAGGCAATATTTACAATCATGCTTGTACGCTACAGCTCCTGTTTTTTGAAGCAGTGCTTCTGACAGTGTGTTAGCAGCTTTCCAAATATTATGAACCATCTGAGATCATCTTTCTTCCTTCACAATGTGCTGAGCTCATGAGTAGTCTTTTGTTGATTGTTCAAAAGGCATATACCTGGGGCCAAAAATAGTCTGACTTGCCAAAAATCCTGAATCTTGTGTGTGAAATTATTTCCCTTATGGGTTTTGACCTAGTTTTGGAGGCAAAATATGATAAGTGACCTTTCATGAAATAACCTGTGTTTCAGTTTCTTCAAGCTTGTGCCCATAAGGGAAATGCCTGGCTCCACATGCTTTATAACACCCGAAAATAACATTAGGTATCCAAAGAGAAAAATCTTATGGCAAGATAAATGCTGAAGTTTTGTGATACTTGGACAGCTGTGGGCCGTGAACTCCTGTGTAGGTAACATTTCTGCACTTTTGTAATACTGCAATCAATATCAATACACAGGACCTAATGATATCGTTATCTGATTAAAAGGTTCTCGTGTATTTTGCATTTCCTTAAGAAAAATCATTCAATATAGCAAAGCTGTAGATAAATACCCACTGTGTATATAATTTTTCAATGGGACCCACTCTGACAATTTCTTCAGATAATGGAAAAAACCTGTAGGATGATATTTAGGTGAGACAAGCACAATGGTATTATAACAGCCTGTTGGCCTATGTGGAATTTTTAAAAATAAACATCTGTTCAAAGACTTTGCCATGTACTGGGGCACAAACCTCCCTTTATCCATTTAATTATATGGGAAAACCCCTAAAAGAACAAAATGCAGGTACAGCATTTCGTTTGTAGTTCCCTGATACATTTTTAACTCTCTCTGACATCACTGGAAGATAAGGACAAGCTCTTGTTACATGAGCTATTCTGCCCTGAGAAGATTGTACAACTTTGACTAACACAGTGTAAACATAGGTGCTGTGTTGTTAAAAATAGAACTTGATGGTGAGTAGTTCTTTTATTCTTAATATAGTTGGACAGCTAATTCCTTAAAATCTCTTTGAAAAAATCCACCCTAAAATGGTAGAAAACTTAGTTGGCATTTTCACAGACAGGCACTAGTTAATCTGCTATCATACAGGGTGTTATTTAAAGTCTACAGTGAACAATATTTACCATCAGATTAAGGCCAATGAGGAAAGCATTTCTGAAAACCGTCTCTCACAAAGTTGGGAAATACTAATCCATGTATTACGAGATCTCAGAGTTTTAACTCCCACATTGGAGTTAGGAAATTTCATTTGCATTTCTTCCCTTCCCAGAAATATGACCAGCTGCTTCTGGAATTAGACTTAATATTGATGTCAATGATTTCCTTTGTATAGAGACATATCTGCATACATTGGCTAGATATTAATGGTTTTGGTCCTTACTTATTTTAAACTATGTTTTGCATATAATGCTCTCCTTTTGCATCATTTTCTACATACCTTTGTGAGATCTCTTCTATTGAATTTTTATTTTTCTGCTATGTAGGCCAGCTCTGCTATTTGTGCTGTATAAGCACTGCTTCAAATGGGAGCATTGCTCTAATACTATTAATCATTTGGTTACTGTCTTCTGACCTTTTACAGCATCAACAGAGCATTCTGTAACATGTTGATCACAGCTGTACCTAATATTTTAATAAACATAATGCTAGCCGTAAACACAATGAAACATCAGTATTGCTCAGCTGCATTCCAAAATGATGTTCCTGCAACCTGAAAGCAAGATCCAGCTCAGGATTCCTTTCTGTAGCTTAAATGAAGCTACTTTTTCATACTTAAAAGTATAGTGCTTCTTGATTGAGAAATCATCATGTCACAGAAGGACAGTGGAGGAGCTAGATGATACTTGCCATGGCTTTCACCAGTGAATGTGCTTATTTTTATTTATTAGTTTATAAACTAGTCTTTCTTGATACAGTATCTGGGACACTGTATATAATTCTGCAGAAAATTAAACTAAACTGGGCACAGTGCCCAGAAAATGCATCCATACCCTTAAAAAATAGCTCAAGGGATCTAAAAATTAAAAGTGGTAAACGAAAAAGAAGGCACATAATGGTCCGTGATGCAGTGACCTGCATAGAAAGCACTTTCCTTGAACCCTAAAGACACTGGTAACACACACCACAGCTTTCTTTTGCCTAAGGCAACAGCTTCTGCAGGTGGGCCAATTATATTGTACAGCACAGTAGCTCAGCAGGTAGCTTATACCTGAGGGCTAATCCTGCTCCTACAGAAGTCAGTGGTGAAACTCCACAGACAGAGTTAGATGTTGCCACGCTGAGAATTTCAGAGCCTAAACTTAGTCACCACCTCTGGATCCACATGGCTGGTGCAGGTCTGTGTGCTTGGTTAGCTGTACACCTAAAAATGGACTTACACTCGGCAGGATACTCGCCAGTGAAACCAGTCCTTAGGAAATACACCAGGGCAGGATGGATCTGTCTCTCTTTCAGATACAGTTACTGCCTGCAGCTCTGCAGAAAATGTCCACAACCAGCATCAGTTTGGGCCTGGCCTAACTGTTAGGAATCCTTTTGCTTGCTCCCTCTTTGCTAGCATAAAGCTTTCATCCTGTTTCTGAACTGGCTTCAAAGCTGCAAGAGTGTTTCTGTGCAGGCTTTGCTCCATCTTAATGACTAGGACACTCACAGAAGTTAGAAAATACATGTTTGATCTCCCCTTCCAGATGGGAAAAGCTCAAATCCCTGATCATGAAGAATGCTATGCCTACTGGAGTTCTACATGAAAATCAGGTGACCTTTCAACTTTGGTGACACTTCTGAATGAAAATGGCCAAGACCACTTGTGTTGTGTGGTGCTCTGAGCTAATGCATGTGTGAGAATTTGGTTTGACAGGCCCTGCTGGTAATCTAGGTGTGAAGGTAACTAGTTTGTGAAAGCTATAGACAGGTTCTAGGTGCTGAGGTGCCCAGCTTAACCAAGACGGCAGTGTTGCTCTTTGAGTCTGAAATGCTTGAACAACGTTCTTACAAAGCCAAGGCAGCTAAAGAACTTAACGTGTTTCTGTGTACTACTTCTAACACACTGTCTAAGACAACCTAAAAAGAGCCTTAGGTGCAAAGTCTCACAATGAATCTGATTCCCTGATTTTGCTATGAATGGAGATGGATTCTCCAGCAGCCTTTATGACAGACTGCTTCTCAAACTAAAACCCCTTGGAATATATTTGTAATGCCTTACCGAGTTTGCTACAACTTCATTTTGATTTTGTTTGGTTTTCAGAGCTCTTGCTGATGTTATGCGACCTCAAGGTCCTTGTACAACAGACCATATGGAAAGAGATCTAAACATTGTAGTACACGTGCAACATTATGAAAACATGGAGACGAGACCTCCTCCAAATAATTTACGTAAGTTGCATTATAATTCTCAATATCTGGAAAGCTGGCACTCAAATGAGCATTGTGAAACCAGTATTGCTGGATGTCAAATGAGGATCGACAGTACATGGGTTCTTGCAAATTAGAAATATTCTTTATTTCAGAATTAAAAATATTTAGGATTTCATAGTGCAAATAGTGCAAAACTTAGAGAAAGCAATTTTGAATAGAGAAATTAGTTATTATATTTATTTTACACTAGTTGTTTTGGTTGACTAATATTAGGTTTTTGTCTTTGTCTCCTCCTACCTGGTGTTTTTGCTCAGCTCATCGAGCTGTGCCTTATTCTATGTTTTGTTACATCAAAATACAAGCAGTTAAGCTTACAGCAAGATTTAGCAAGATGTTTCATAGGGCTGTAACATCCAATAAGAAAGTGGCCTCATTAAGCACTTACATCATCTCCACTGGTAAAATAGTTAAATACTTTCCAGGAGAGCATGGAGTTGTAGGTGGTTTTCACTTTTAGTTTCTTTTCTTTTTTTTTTTTTTTCTCTAAGGGAAAGGTGAGAGGAAGATTATTATTTTAAGTTTTAAATAAATTTTTTATTCTGTATATGCTATTACATGTTTATGTTATTGAAGGCAAGAAAAAGTGCACTTTGGAGTTTCAAATGAAATATGGTGACATTTCAAGTGGTTCTGAAGTCCCAGTCAGCTTATTTCTCACTCTTGTATCAGACCACAGTATGGATCTTTCTCATGCTCAAATGCATTTTCTTTTTGTGATGAACAGTACCACTGCAATTTTAATTTGCACATATATGTATGTATTTTATATTCATCAATATCTTATTTATATGTAAGTATACATGCATACAAATTATAGATAATGTATTTACGAATTCAACCTCAGTATATTTATAAAAGAAAAGGGTATCATTTAGGAAGGTTTAGATTGTTAGGCAGTGGATGGCTTTATTCTGTGCTGTTGATCAATGCAGATGTGCATTTTACTGCAAATATATGCTTTTACTGCATTGGTATGTGGATTTGGAAACATTTTTAGAGTGTATGCACTAGTCTTTTCCTTATCTTTCTGTAACTGTAGAAAGCAGAAGATTTGCCTATATTTAGACAAAGATTGAGTTTTATTTGGACTGCACTGTACAGTTATTGTGAGATTTTACCTCTTGCTTTCGGGGGAAAGGTGTAAAAACAATGGCAGAAAGAGCAGTTTCATATGCTTCATGCACCCCTGATACTTGTGGTAGAGGCTGACTGCGATTTCTTATGTGCATGGTTTTAGAGTAATAGGAGAGAATTAAAGCTGTGACCTCTAATAAGGATACCACGTATAGTGAAGTGTGACATCTAATCTGTCTGCACTGCTCTCCAGTAAAGTACTTCCACCTGGGCCTGTGCAGTTCTTCACTGCAGAGAGGGAAGTACATACATACTGCAGCATTACATCCCTAATTGTATAAAAACACATGGCTTCTGGAGGGGAACTTATGCTTCTTACTCAGTCAGAGGTGCTCTAGCCCCTCTGGAGCTGAGGTGGTGAACTTTTGAAGGTTTAAGGAAGGTGGGAATATGCACTATATGTCCTTTTGCTCTGTTTATTAGCTCTTCACTGATCTCTGATCCTTCCTGTGACCATGTTTTCAAGACGAAAGGTGGCAAAAGATAATGAAGTTAGGGTATAACCCTTATTTTCTCTCATATGTGAAATGTTTATTCAGAATCCCAGTTAATGAAGGAGACAGAAAGTAAAAAGCTGCTTACTGCCTTGATTGTATCTAGATTTTTGTAGTCATCACACTGAGATATTTTGCTTAAAAGTCTTTGTATTCTACAATATACGACATAACACAGCAGGTCTTTAAACTCGTTGTTTGGATTAGAATTCAGACTTAAGCCTTACTTCTATAAACTCTTGCATATAAATTCAACTCAGAGCCACATATTTACTGCATCAAGGAAGAAAAAAAAAAAGGCACATTTAATAGAGCCTTAGGATTGTGGCTTATGATGACCGCAGACATCCATACCACCTGTGTCTCAGAATTTGGCCCTCTGGCACAGATGGAAGAATGATATGTGAAACAGCTCTTGCACTATTGCAATTTATAACACAGAAGCACTACTGCTACTTTGGAGCTATGTAATCTACTGGGTAATGAATAGGGGCAGTCCCAAGACTGCTTCACATGC